TCTAGGCTGCTGTTAAGGAACTGGCTACACTTCTACCAGTTACACACCGTGTCCTGTTAATAGAACCTCATAGCCATTTCCACCATCTCTTCGCCTTCGTAAGTCCCTCACAAATCTCTTCTCACTCAAGCTAACCCTCTCAGCCCCGATTCGCCATCGTGCCAGGCCACGAACACAAAGCCTTCATCCCCTACACCGGCTTCTTCTCCTCGCTCCCCAACGCCCCCAACCATACCATTGTCCGCGCCCGCGCAGTATCCCTGCAAAAGAACCAACTCACCCTGGACAGACCATGGCAGGGCTCAACAGAAATCCCTTTCGAATATGCCGTCGTCACAACGGGAACACGACTCCAGGCGCCTAGTAACATGCAGCACGACGATAAGAAGCCATCTGTGGAGTACTTCAAGTCTTACCAGCAGGGCATCAAGAATGCAAAGTCTATCGTTATCGTTGGCGGTGGTGCGGTTGGTATTCAAATGGCGACGGACTTAGGGGAGGTGTATCCGGAGAAGAAGGTTACCTTGATTCATTCGAGAGATAGGCTCATGCAGCTTTATCATGAGAAGATGGATGCTATTCTGAGGGATAGATTGCAGGAGCTTGGTGTTGAGTAAGTCAGCCTTTCTGCTGGATAATAACAAGCACTAACGGAGCAGTGTTATCACCGGCACACGAGCTGTGATCCCAGCGAAGGGCTTCCCAACAGACGGATCGACATTCGAACTAGAACTCAAAGACGGCCGAAAGATATTAACAGACCTCGTCATTCCAGCAACAGGCCAAACGCCGAATAACCAGTTCCTCAAGGATCTCCAGCCCACGTCTGGATACGAGATCATCAACCCCGCTAACGGCTTCATCCGAGTTGCACCAACACTGCAATTCGCTGACCCCGAGTACTCAAATTTGTATGCATGCGGTGACATTGCCGACAGCGGCGCTCACAAGGCTGCGAGACCAGGAGCCGGACAAGCGCAGGTTGTAGCGCAGAACATCGCTGCTATGGTGAACGGTGGCCGACCTGAGCAGAACGTCACGGTTGATCCTCCTGCCATTCACCTATCTCTGGGATTGGTTCGTACTACCCATGTAACCGGAAAAGTCGTGGCTAACAGTTTTGTAGAAAAAGAACATTGTGTTTAGAAATCCTGGAAAGGGCCAGTCTGAACCTACGATCATCTGGAGAGACGAGTAAGTTTCCTACTTGGTTTTACAATATGAGGTACTGACGTGTTTGCAGTGGATCGAGGGATATGAACATTGAAGGAGTCTGGGAGAGGAGGGGGCAGAGGGTCACGCGACAGGATGACTACCATCTTTGAAGTGGCTGCCTTGCGACGACGAATAGAAGGTTGATTTCATGAAATTTAGACTTTGGCTGGTTATGCAAGAGTTCTTCCAAGGCCACTCGCGCTCGATATTTTTGTGCAGAATCCAGAAGGCTTTGCGTGCACACTTTATCCTGTGAATGTGAATTCACTGATTGTCCGCGCCTGTCACGCAAGATGGTGTGTCCGATGGAGCCATAAGTTGTCGTTTCTGTCAGCTCAAGAGAACAAGATCCTTACGCAGCATACAGACAGCCCATCAATACATTGTATGTTAGTACGGACTTAGTGCTTGATTCACGTAGTCGGTCAGCTTCATTCACAAGCGAAAGCTTTCTTCCTCTGTTGTTGAACTATAAGTCTTTTTAAGTCACATATCGAAAGTCCGCACGCCGTTGGCAAACTCTGAGAGCCGTCTGTCCAATCAACCGTAGGCAATATTGACGATTGGATACTATTGAGACAAGAGACAGACCCTGTGATGAAAGACTTGCGCAGATCTCGACGCATTATGCCTATCATCAAGCATTGAATGTGACTTGGGATCAGTAGTGGCGATGCAAGCCTTGCGTTTTGACTTTCGAATGACACCACAGACTCTTTCCGCCCCTCAGATACCAATTGAAGGGCAGAAGTGACGAGGACAGGGTTAATTCTTTACATTGGAGAATTCTTGAGACGGCTCTTCTCGTCAACGACTTCCCGGTACGGTGCTGGTCAGTACGTGGCTATCACGACAATCCAAACGCCGTTTTTTTTAGTAAATGCAACCATCCAAAGCCTGGACCGCAAGCTACTTGAGTACCTCTTATTTGGGGTGCTGTGTTGGAAGTTGGTATGCTGCCTGAAGTGTGATGTCTCAGGGTGTTGTTTTAAGTAGGTAGACCTGACAGCTGATCCTTCCATCGTGCGCCTTACCTCAAGTCGCTCTTCATGCACCACTATTCACCCTTTACAACTTCACTGCTTAACATAATTCCGCGCAGGTCTTTCGAGAGGTTTCTTGATCCTTCGAGAAGAATCACAGCAATGGCAACCAGATCAGGAGACACCGCAGTGCTCTGTCCTTGCATGCAAAGTTACCTACAACTTTAAGGGATGTCATTGGATCCTGCGTGAGCTTGATTTCCAGTCTGAGGTCTCCATGCAAGGCCTTGCGGTGTCACGTTCACGGCCTTGAGAATCGCCAATAGGTCATGACTACAAGCTCCTTTCACAACTCGAGATGCTGTGTCAAAGCGGAACAGAATGAGGGTGCGTCAGATATCATTGGCTAATAGATAAACCTTCCAGCCGTGAATGCTGGACAAGTCAGAGTCTAAATCCTCTCCAACCAGTCCTTCCATATAGCCTTGTAGTTACTAACCTGATTTTCCGGGTCCCGTATGACAAGTTGGTATGAAGGTTTGGTGTGTACTCGTGCAAAGCTACATTGTGACTGGACTTGAACCTTGCAGTTCAGTCCTATCACCAAGGGAACACTCCCCATTTAACCCTTATAACGACAACCTACGATTCCCCTTCATCCAGGGCAGCAAAGCCCTCGATCTGAAAAACTCTCTTGCCCTTCCTCTATAAGTAAAGGCCTTTCCTCCCTCTGCCTCAGTTTCCATTCTTCATCCTTTCGTATCAGATTCTGCCTTGTACGTCTTCAGCTTTCAGCCATTTTACTTACAGCACTGCTGCCTTTTGGTCACCTGGTTTCTTGAACTTACAGTCAGTCTTACCAGCTTCGCCCTCCGCTTACAGCACTCTTGACTCTTGGTCACCTGATTTCTTGGTCTCTCAGCCAGTCTTTTCGATTGCAGCACTGTTGCCTTTGGTCACCTGATTTCTTGATCTCTCAGTCAGTCTTAGCAGTTACGTTTCTCTTCACATTGGCGTCTCCTGGTTCCTTGATTCGCACCATTCTTTGAAGACCCTGCTCTGCTTTCTTGGCGACAGCTGTACAATAGCCTTGTTAGACGCTCTTGAGCTGCAGAACAATATATACAAATACATTACTTGACGTACCTTGCCGATTTACACTCACTCATTCTCTCTCACAATTTTCTTCATCAGCGACAATGCCTTCTCTTGCAGACTTGGGAGTCATGGACCACATGAGCAGGTCAGATGATGACATGGATGACAACTCGTCAACATGCTCCTACTACTCTCTCTCCGACGTAGAGGACATCTCATTCAAGAAGATCCCTGCGCATGAGGTCCGAAAGCAAAGCGTGCAAGTTCCTGAGTTTAGTCCTCTCTCTACATATCCTCACACCTTTCACAACAAGGAGGCACTACCGCTCAAGGTAGCCGGCCCGTGGTTGGAGTATCCTCTCTGCCTTAAAGGCAAATACATATCATCCGTGGGTATGAGCCCAGGACCAGCGCGAGTCATCATCAACCCGTCAGTCCCTGGTGGACATGACGTTATTTATCATCCCACAAAGTGGGAAGGGAGGTTTCTTCAGGCGAAGTACCGACCCAAGGGGTACAGAGCAAAGATCTCTGGAAGTACGGCTATGCCGACAATCCCCTCACCTCCATCCTCACCTCTACCATCTCCTTCTCTCTCGCCATCTCCTCTCCTCTATTTCTCTCCACCTGCTAGTCCGGGCTTTTACGGAGCATCTCCCAATGGGTTGATTGCGAGCCAGCAAGCGTTTGCCTTGGCAGTGCAGCAACAGCAAATTGCATGGCAGCAACAGAGCCTAATGGCCAGTTGCATGTACCCACAGGTTATGGGCTACAATGGCGTTGTCCGCGGCCAGTCTTTATTGGAGTTCTATTGAAGCGCAAGTCAGCCTGGCTATAATGCCATCAGCGGCTTTGGGCACTGCTAGCGATCAAGCGACTCTCTGTTTTGTATCAGCATTTTTGATCAATTATTACTCTCAATCTTATCAGCAAGTTTGCGTCCTTTATTACTCTCGACTTCTCATCATCTTCATTCAATCATTTTCAACAGCGATCTTCCTTTTTGTTAGCAGTGGTTTGCCCGTCTTGTTTGTTAGCATTGGACTTTATGGACTTTGCCCTTCTCGATACCTTTTTGGATCAGATGTGGTATGAAGTCATGGCTTGGTTATGCATTTTAGAACTGGATCGATGAATACAAATCGCGATTTCTTCTCTCTCTCAATTATAGACTCCAAATTGTGAAACACTTAACCGTCATTGACATGTACTAACAATAATATTTCTAATCGCCATATGAACTTATAGTTGACTGCCAACCTACTGAAGCTTGGTAAATGACACTTTTCCCACGTATCTTATCTCATCGAAACGTAGGTCTTGACTATGGAACAGTTCGTCTCATGCGCATTTCACGCGAAACAAGGCACTCTTCCGCACTCACCTGTCTCTTTTCATTAGAGTCTGACTCAGCCGGCTATCGCCAGCGGAATTACTCCCCCCTCCATAGCAATTCTGCCGAACTACCCCGGATTGTCACACTCACCCCGCACTCCACCGGAATCCTTCCGACCTCCAAGACTTCAAAGTTCGGCACTACCAGGCTAGCGACGGGTAATACTTTACACAATGACAGCACAATCATCCTCATGACATAAGAAGGGCGTGACCTTGGGGTTCGGTTATGGTGAGGAGGTTCTTCACTTCTCTTCGATTGAACTGTTCTCAGCTACAGTAGTAACTTGATCAATTGCATCATTCAATATGTCTGACTCTCAGTATACTCTCTACTCTTACTTCCGATCGTCATGCTCAGCACGTATTCGCATCGCTCTCAACGCAAAAGGAATTCCATACGAGTTAGCATTCGTCAATCTTCTCAAGAATGAGCATCTCTCCGATTCTCATAAGACCCTCAACCCGTCAGCTTCCGTCCCCGTTCTCATCTCCAATGCCTCCCAAGACAAACCCTTCCGCATCGGTCAATCCGTCGCAGCCCTAGAGTATCTCGAAGAAAAACACCCTTCACATCCTCTCCTCCCCTCCAACCCCGAAGCACGCGCAACAGTTCGAACCCTCGTCAACATCATTTGCGCAGACATCCAGCCCGTTACAAACCTGCGCATCATGCGTCGCATTAGAGAACTCGGTGGAAATGCAGAAGAGTGGAATAAGCAGCTAATGACTGATGGACTTAAGGCTTACGAGGAGGTTGTGAAGGATTCAGCGGGAAAGTGCAGTGTTGGTGATGAGTTGACGCTGGCGGACGCTTGTCTTATGCCTGCGATGTGGAATGCTGAGAGGTTTGGTGTTGACTTGACGCTCTTTCCAACGATCGGGAAAATCGTGGAGGGGTTGAAGGATCATCCTGCTGTTGTGAAGGCGCATTGGCAGAATCAGCCTGATACGCCTGACAATCTCAAGGCTTGATGGATGTAGAGCTTATAAGCAAAGCTGAATGGCTACGGTAGTTAAAATGTAAATTCCCACTTCTTCCAAATGAATGTGTATTGCTACTTGCTAGTTGTAAGCTGAATCTTGATCGCGCTGACATGAGTAACAGGGACATAACACTCAAAAGATCAAGGATACAAGAAGCTACACGCTGCCGTGATCCAGCATGACAAGACAAGGGTAGAATGCACAAAAGTACGTCAAAGAGATTGATGCAAGTAAAGTCTATTTAGCTTTTGATACTACCTGTACGTCCACAAACTTGCATCACTTGAACAGAGGAAGAGGCTCAAGGATCTGTCCCGACACCTCACCGAAGCCAACCTTCTTATCGCCACTGCCATAAGCACCACGAATAATGAGGGTGTCGCCATTCTGAATGAACTTGCGCTCCTCTCCATCCTTCAATTGAATGGGCACCTTGCCGCCCTTGGTTTGCTCCAGCATGCTACCCTCGGTGCCAGACTCGGTGCCGGAGATAGTACCTGATCCGAGAAGATCACCAGGTCGAAGGTTGCAGCCAGTGATGGTGTGATGTGCGATCATCTGGGGCCACGACCAGAGCAGGTTGCGTGAGGTCGTCTTGCTAAGGTGATTCTTGTTGCCGGCGGCAGCTACACATAGTCAGCGGCTGTTTCTGAAGATGAGTGGCGAACTTACTGATGATTTCGACCTCGAGGTCAATGTCCAAGACGTTGTTTTGCTCCTTCTCTTTTAGATAGGGCAGAATCTCATTATCGTTCTTGATACCAGCAGCCTTGGCCCCTTCAAGAGCATCAGCCAGCACGACCCAAGCACTAATACTCGTACCCAAGTTCTTAGCCGTGAAAGGACCAAGAGGCACATATTCCCAAGCCTGGATATCTCGTGCGCTCCAGTCATTCATGAGAACATAACCAAAGATGTGCTCATCAGCCTCGTCAATAGGAACAGGACTACCCATCTCGTTCTCACGGCAAATAAACATGCCCATCTCGAGCTCAATGTCGAGCCTCTCACAGGGCGCGAGGTCAGGAACTTTGTTACCAGGGCGGAGGATTTGTCCCCAGGGCCGTCGAATTGGTGTGCCTGATACGACAACACTACTGGCTCTTCCGTGGTAAGCGACGGGGAGATGGGTGTAGTTAGGTTGAAGAGCATTGTCGGGGCCGCGGAAGAGACAGCCGACGTTGAAAGCGTGATTCTTGCCGGCATAGAAGTCTGTGTAGTCTCCGATGGTCAAGGGGAGATGATTCTTGACATCAGAGCACTTTAGAAGCGCTGCGTCTTGAAGTTTCTGGTTATCCCTCAACACTGAGTTCTTGGTGTCTTTCGCAAAGACATCCTGGAGATAACTCCTCGTCACGCGATGAAAAGGACGACCAAGCGCCGCGAATGCATTCAAAGACTGTTGCGAGAACACATGAACGTGCTTCTGGATCTCAGAACTACCCGAGAACCCATCCCCCTTCGCAAAAGCATCAAGATCTAAAACATGATCGCCGATCGCAACAGCAGGTCGAGGCGTAGCATTTGACGAAGTAGAGATGATGCCAAAGGGGATGTTGGCGATGGAGAAGTGAGACTCGGCGGGGATAGATAGCCACGACATTTTTGAGTGAGGATAGTGAGATGAGGAGATTTGTGTAGGCTTGTAGATGTTGATGTCAGTTTTATCTTGTATTACAAGCTGGTGATGGAGCCGCCGCAAGCCGACTTAGCGGGGCTGGATGCCGGGGCTAACGCGGGGTGCGGAACGGAAATGGTTCCGAGTATTCCGTTGTTGGTGCTGTCGGTTACTTCGGCTGAAGAGCGGCCTCGGCGGAGAAATGTGCGATAAGATAAGCACAAGATCGATAATGAGATAAGATACGATCTTAAGATGAGCCGAGTCTAAAGAGGGAGGATGGTGATAAGCACGATACGATAAGGACTTGAGATATGATGACATTTGCCCCAAGTATTAAATACCTGGGATCTCATGGTCGCTTCTCTAGAATTTACAGTATTTACCTTATGCAATTAAATCTGACTTTGATCTACGGAGTCGGTGACGTTCTCATCTTGAGCGGGCTGTCATGTTGCCTGCAGCCATTTATATATCGCTATCCGTATAGCAACATCATTCACCAAAGCCCTCTTGTCTCATGTTACCCCTTCCTTGGCATCATTGCGCCTGCAACTCTGGCAGGCTATGGCATGCTGTTCTAGAGCGTTCCTGGTCCTTTCCAACCTACCTAGGCAGCTTTTGTTCTCAGCCGTGCAGGGAATCGTCAAGTCACAGAATAGATAGAACATACATGATGGCGTCGATAGTTTCAAGCCATCTCCTGCAATTACACCCTGTCTATCACGAGGCTACGCTTCACTTTGCTTTTAAAAGCGATCAGCTCCGTCTAATAAAGGAGATTGACAATGATTAGAGATAACACCAGTTAGCCAGCATTATTTATAGTTAGTTCCCAACAGCCCAGTGCACGTCTCGCAGCACTGGGTGGAAGTACGGCTTTTCCTCGCCTAGGGTAATTAGACCGCCGCCAATCACCAACTTCCGCGACATTCTCCCACGCATCCAATTACCATGGCTACACCTGACATATCCGCCTTCTCATGCAAAGGCATAGACATTGGTATTAAGAAGTACCAGCCCTGGACAAATTGCAAAGCAGCTGCTGCATTCCTCGCACCATGGGTCGACCACAAAACCGTCAACATGACAGATCTCGTGACCTATCTCAAGTCATTTGGCGGCACAGATATTCCTGAGTGGAAAGCGATGAACTGGTTCTTCTGCGCAAAGGAGTGTGCTAACAAGGAGATGAATGAGTGGCTGATCCATAAGCCTATGAAAGAATGTAAGGATGAAATGTGCGAGGTTTGGGAGTGGGATGGCAATGCTGACATTGTTGGCATTGGGGTAAGGTTATCGCTTGGAATATGAGATTGGTGCTGACGTAGGCAGATGATGTTTGTTTACTTGATGGGTGCTATTCTCGCCAGTCTCTACGCCGCATCGTTTTTGAGCAGTATGTATGACGAGAACGACTGCACCACGTTCAAAACTCGATCCCCGTCGAAGGAACAAAGTGTCTGGGACAAGATCCGCAGCATGTTTTACAACAGCCTCGGCGCGTTCCACACTGGCTTAGGCCTTTTATCGGCTTCCGTCCTCCTCGCTACTCTCGTCATCTGTGGTCGTAAGGAGAGCGTCTACGACATAAACATGTCACGTCTTGCCTGTGCTGTTTTGACGGCATCTTACTTTCTGATTCTTCCAATTTACCTTGACATTGAGCGGAAGAGCATCTCTGGATGTTTCATGGGTGTTGTTATATTGGTGCTCTTTACGGTAGTGATTTATATGAGTTCTACCGCCGAGACTGCAGCTACGCCGCATGGAAGAGTGCCTTTTGAGGCGATTTGCTGGGACTTAAAAGCATCATTCAAAGCCAGCAGTGCGGTATTTGCTTTTTATCTCATTGCAGGGGTCATTGCGATGCTCGCTGGTTTGACGTACTTGGTTGGCAAGTGCAGCAAAAGGCCAGCAGATAAAGTGCCTGTGCTAGGCTGGCTCTTCTTTCGTTTGCCGTGGAGGATCTTGAGCTCAGTTTTCTTTTTCATCTTTATGTGGACTGCCCTTGGAAGCCTTTTTACCCTCAGGGCGGATATTGCGAGTGTAAATGGTGGGGGAGTGCAGGATTCGGAGGGCTCTTGGGGGTTTGGACAGATTTTGGCGCTCGCGACTTGGGTTCCTGTTATGGAAGAAGCAATTGTTGTTCTTTTCAGTGAGTTTTACTTGCTCTCTTTGGAAATTACTGAGAAAGGTCAGAGGCTAACATCGGTTGTCAGAGAATGGCTTATACGTAAGCCAGCGGCGGACAAATAAGCATTACGTTAGTGTTGAGGCCTCTGCTGGGACAGAAGAGGCAGAGACGTTAGTCCCTGTGCAAACACAAAGTCAGGAAATGGAAGATCTTAGGAATATGCCTTGAGATTAGCCTGGTCTTAACAGCAGTGGCGTAAGATGAGGCTGAGTCGGGGCTAGAACGCCTGCTTGTGGGTCGTGAGCTGGGGAATTCATGTTCTCATTGGTCTGTAAAAAGAACAAAGTCATACAAAGTATGGGCTTGGCTTTGCACTGCCACGTTGGCAGCACCCAAAACCTGATCCAGCAGCTAATCATTTAATAAATTCTTTGTAACGCAATCACTGTATTGATAGGGTAGTAAATGATCTTTCTCCGTGTAGTCACAGCTGGAACTGCCTGAAATCCAAAAGCTGATGTTTGAATGTCAAGCTCTTTTCTCATCTGCGAAGACTATATTCTTCAATAAAGCGGTATTCACCATCGGTCGCACCTTGCACCTACAATGTTATATAGCAACAAGTCACCACGATCTCGCGGTGCTGGCGTTGTTGATATCATACACCCTTCTCCGCAACTTTGCAGCAGCTGCGCATCCTTTCCGTGGCCATCGGGACTTACAACCACAGCAACATTTAGCAAAACGTTTTCTTCTGCCCAAAAATCAGCTGATGAAGGTTGCGTATTATGTCGCTTCGTTTGGTCATTGATAATCAGCAACTGTGAAGTGATCAGCGAGGTTTTGGACTCAGAAGAATTTGCAAAGGGATCAATTGAGTTATATGTTCACGAGGACAAAGGGGTCTTGATATTAGTCCCGGAAGTAGTGCAGAATGGTCAAGTACTCTCTACCGGTACAGGAGCTAGGCTTGAACTTGTCGGGTGTAGTGATACGGAGGTGATGGAAAAGTTCGAGACACGTCACATCAAAGGTAGTACCAAAAGCCTGCTAAAGTTATTCAATATTGATATCAGCCTATTCTAGACTTCACCGAGGTAAATGTCCAACATGAATTGGCTGATCTCATTAAGCACCAGATCCAGCCTTGAATGGAGAGCTGTCGCGCAAGGCTCACAGATCACGAAAGCTGCGGACCCAAACATGACGCATCAGGTCTACCAACTCGTCTAGTCGATGTTGGCGAGGGGGATGATTCTCTGGTCAAACTCATTGACGTCAAGAGCTGCGATCACATCCCAAGTTTGGCCTACCTTATCCTCAGCTATTGTTGGGGAACCGGCAACGAAAGTTCCAAAACGACAGAGAGTAATCTCAACGGACGGCTTCGTGGCTTTTCTGTCTCGGAACTTCCGAAAACCATCCGAGATGCCATTCTTTTGACAAGAATGATGGGGTATCGATACCTATGGGTGGATGCAATGTGTACCATCCAGGGACCGAGCGGTGATTTTCACGCAGAGTCGACCAGAATGGGCGATTATTACTCGAATGCCGAGTGCTGTATCTCTGCATCGGCTGCGACTGATAGCCAACAGGGCTTTTTGACTGAACGCCCGCTTGCAAGATTTCCTATTGAGGATATCGCCTTCAAGATACACAAAAAGCCCTCCAGATTATGGGCTTATAGCGGAATAGGTTCCAATATACACAAAGAGCCAGTATATTCCATACTCAAATGGAATCACAACACAACAAGTGCGAAGAAACACATCCTCACATCGCCGCTGACAGAACGCGGATGGTGTTTGCAAGAGACGGCACTAGCAAAGCGGACACTTCACTGGACTCTCCAAGGAGTATTTCTCGAATGTCAGACTTCTCTTTTCCTCGAAGGCAGAAAAGCTCGGTGGAGTTATAAAGGCCCACTGAGTGAGGTATTCTTCTCACCAAGAGATATTTTGGCGATGCCTGACGAAGACCTACTTTTCTCATCCGGATGGTATCAGCTTGTCATTGATTTCTCAGAGACAAAGCTGACGTATGAGACGGATCGTTTATACGCCATTCATGGACTTGCGTCAGTGCTCATTCGACGTTTCAATGCCGAATATTTTAACGGTCTCTTCCGAAGGAGTATAGCGCAGGGCCTTTTATAGTTTCATCGGTCCAGCTCGAATGGGACGTGCAACAGACCAGAGAACGTACAGCTACCATCCTGGTGCTGGGCATCAAGTTGTTCCGTTAGTTTCATGAAAATCCTTCAGGTACCGATATACATACGAGATGACCACCCTGACCGGCCTACACGCTTCCCCACGCATCCTGAGACTATAAGCACGGTGGAGGGCACGACCTCTAGGCTCTACATCAGAGCGCCGATCATTCAACTAGAGATTGGAGCTCTCAATGTTGGATACACGAAAACTAGTGGCTCAGATGATATAGCGAAGTTCGAATATTGGTATTGGTTGGATTCAAATCGTCGAGTTATGCGCGATTATCCTGCTGTAAGCTTCGTTGCGGAGTGGGTAGAAAGTTCTAGCGTATCGTGGATACCTGTAGGTCAATCAGAGGGTAGCCTGGAATATATTGTGGGATTATTAGTGCATGAGGTGCCTAGTCAAGGGGAGGGGGTTTACTGCCGGTACGGGCTTCTGGCTTACAAGGGCCAGGATGACTCTATACTGGATGATCAACGCTTGAACGACGTTAGCGAGATAGCTTTGGTGTGAGATTTCGATCCTCTTTGAGTGTCATGAAACGCTTATGAGAGACTCATATAGGTTATTGGATCGTAATAGTCTAATTCTGATCATAAGGCAGCACTTTTGTCTCACTTTTGGGCGCAGCTGGCATGGCATAAGCCAGGTAATTAATAGCATATGATCAATCAGATCTTTAGGCCTTTAATTGTCCTTTTTGCCATACCTTTTTACAATAGGCTCAAATACCATCGGCATTGAATGGGCATTTATAGGTACCCTCCAGCGGTCTCACTACCTGTAAATAAAAAGCCTCTTGAACAATCTCTGACTACCCAGCCTCGCCTGTTTCAAAGTCACTCCTCAGGTATACCGAGACTGCGTCGGCAAAAGCATCTACCATCCTCATCCTGACCTTAGGAATCATGTCAAGTATTGCCTCCCGCATACTCTTGTCTTCATCTTGACTCCCCCGAGCGTCTAAAAGCTTGATGATCGGTGACCACAGAGCGATCTTTACAAGTATGACACTAAGACTGTACAGTTCGGCCTTGTATGAGAAAGGCGGTCTGTCAGCTGACTCACTATTTTGCTGCGCTGGATGGCCCTAGTAATCTAGGTGTCGGCACAGACTCTGAAATCGATTATTGTCAACATTCTGAGTCAGTCTAGTCTCACGGAACAACCTGCTGTGGTCAAGACCACTAATATATGCCGCACCGAATCAACAGTTGATATGTCGCTACTTAGAAACAGGACATTATTACTGCGGATCCCCTCGTGCAGCCAAAATCCCAGGTGAAGAAAAAGTAGCGTTTTGGAACGCAGCTTGACAAGGTTGAACCGCTCGGTTGGAGATTTAGGTGTAGAGTCTTCACTGATTAGCAACTCTAGAAGAGTGTAAAATTGCTGGCCCAATTCAAATTTGAAGACCAGATCTTCCTTTGCGTCCTCTTCTCCTGAGACAGGCATGCGACCATGGCTATGCATTTCAGGGACCTGAAATCTTGGTACACATATCCACTCGATCATCATAGGGGTGATGTTGATGTTGCGCAACCTAAACTCGGCTAGACTGCGTTTGGTAGAGTATTCAGTTGCGTTGTCTAGTTTCCTTTCATCTTTGAATCCTCGGTAACTTCGTGGTAAGTCTCGTTGGTGAATGGTGTCGGTCCGGTTTCTCATTCCTCTGCAACTTCCTGAAAGTAAGCAATGCGCTGTACTACTTTGAAGGCTCTATCCTCTTCAGAGTGTCCCCACTGATTCCGAATACCATCGAGAACTACGTGATGACAGACCAAACGAAAGAATCACAACGGTCTATGCACAGGCTATTGCCTCTTTTCACTGCCGCCATTGACGCAGTAGGCACTTGTCCATCCGCAAGCGAAGAGGCGCTGGTAAGCATCTGCATCGATGAAAAGGCCTTTGAAAGGGAGCCTTCCTTTGCTTCTGGCGGCTCAATCCAGGCCATGCGAAGCCGACCAAACACAATGCTGAAATAGGTCGTTTGTTCGTTCAAAAAGTCCACCATTCATAAAATGCCATGCTATCTCTGAATGACGTTGTACTTCGAGTCCCCAAAAGGACTGAAGTGAAGCTTGAAGGATGGCCAGGACCTCTCAGGGTCCATTCGCACTGAAATAGCAATTCTGAGAAACGAGAACCTACAGAGACACGAGAACATCATTGACATGATCTGTGTCTGCTGGAGTGTAGATAGCAATTGCAGTGTGATGCCTGTTCTTGTGTTAGAGACGTCCCAAGGCGGCGATTTATACAATTACTTTGAGAGCGCGACGAGGCTTGATGTGAGAGACATATCAAAAGATACGAGAAGACTATGATTTTTCTATTGAAACGCGGAAGTTAAAGCTATGCGGTCAGTTGGGGCGTCGTCGCCCAGGTCAAGCATTCTGTCTTCACCGCAGCTACCTTGTACAGCCAATCATTTGTGCTGGACCATCTGTGATCTTTGGACATACCATCCACCACGAAGAGTCTCATCAGAACACTTCAGTGGTATTTATAAACTCTAAGTTCTCTCTGCTGATTTAAGCGGTCAGCCAGGCGTGTAATTCTTCGCAGCCTGGAAGTCCTGTAGATCAAAGACACGCAGACAGCTTTCCACCTTTGCCAAAGATATAGACAGCTTATCCTGAATACAACAGTTATGGCTGCGATGTCTGCAATTGTCATAATGACTATAATTCCTGATGCTGTACCAATTAGGTTTTTTCAACCCCTTTATCATCTCTTTAGAACCTTCAATACTGAAACCATCGAATGGCGGGGCGTTCCGCGGGTTCAGAATTCCATGTCTGTTGAGTTCCTTGGTCAGGATTCCCAAGAGCATGGATGAGCACTCGAAGGAACAATCTTGTTCTTCTTGCAGGCGATCAAGGAGCTCGTAGATTGCTGAGAAGATTTCAGCCAGAGCGCTCTGACGTGCTGTGTCAATCTCTTCTGCGGCTTGCATCAGCACAGGCCGTCATGCTGAGTTGAGACAAAAACTTACCAAGAATATCGGCTGGAACAGGGAAGTCCTCGGCTTCGATTAACTTCTGACTGTGCGTCAACGCCAGTTGTGTCATGTTTCGGAACATAATTGGTTCTGAGAAAACCCAGGATATGAACATCCAAAGAACGCAGTCTCGCCCATACACCGTCGGTACCTCTGATTCCAAGCCTTTTAGCCAAATGTCTGCGTATAACTCGACGCTCTCAAGGCAATCGTAATAGTTCACAATCATTGCTACCTTTACAAGCATTTCAAGGCTGAGAGATTTTGGGATATCTCGATTATATCCATGCATGATAGTCAGGACGATCTTGAAGGCTTCAGGATCCCAGTCGCTCGCTGTTATCAGGCGAAAACCTGATGAATCGGCCTTTCCCTCTGCAAAAGGACCAGTAACCATTGTTCTGAAGATAGGTGAAGCTAGCTCTAAGTGTTTTCCGGATACTAGCATTCGAAACTCGATCTTCTTAAGGTGAAGTACGCATGTTTCTCCATAGTCCCAGTCTTGTATTTGAAGGCTTGTGTTGTTGGGATTCGTTCCAGGGTCGGTACAACCCGGATCCATTTCGTCGCTATCTGACGATTCCGGAAGAGCATAACGTACATTACTAAAGTCTGAGAAATCGGTTCTACCCAAGTCTATGGGAGGTGCGTTGGTAGTACCTCCTAGCGATGTTGAGGTTGTAACAGGAGACTCTTGCGGCGCTGGTGGCGTAGCCGACGGGGGGGGCTCAACTTTCTTCTCTTTCTTCTTTTTTCGCTTCTTGTTTTTGCAGTTTTCCTTCGTAGGCTTTTCTTCCTCTATCCAGATTTTATCTGTCTCCCATTTAAAGCTCTGGGCCCTGTATGTACTAAGAATGATCCGAGTATCGCCGTTCGAGTCGAAGATATAGGCCGATGGTTTTTTGCTGGGAGGTGTTTTTGGAGGGACTGGCTGAGTGGAAGCAGGCTCAGAGCCTGGGACTTGGTGGACCATCTTCTTGCCTTCATTCTTAAGCGTCTCAATCTTAAAAGGGTCAAAAACATACTGACCTATGGAGGAGCAACGAGGTTGAGTTCTGATTATTGTGCCTGAGCAGTGTCGTTGCCAGAATTTGCAAAGAAAACGGCTTTGGCGCTGACTCTAAAGAAACGAGCCCCTCGTTTTGAATGATGGTTGACGTTGGGCTGGCCTGCGGGAGGCCGACCAATTCACTGTCAACCCCGCTTCTCTTCCTTGGAAATCTGGCCGATCGTATCTCGCTTGATACAGTCACACTGGATGGTTTTCAAACGCATGCAAGTGAAAAATAAATCATTGGATATCATCCTACCAATAATGACTACCAGATTGTATTTTGTCCACTTTGACACTTAGCGCCTACTTCCGAGCCAAGCTTTGAGCCACTATAAATCCATTCAGTTAGTGGGACTGAACTCAGTGTATCAGCTTGTCTATATAAGTTATAGAGTGAGTTAGGGGTAGATAAATGTATACATTACCTTGCTAATTGTATGGTAAAGACTTTAGGTTTATGTAAGTCCGTAGATATATCTATTATCTTCGTCTTCTAGTTACATTTGAGAATATTGGGCAGCAGGTTAAGCTCACTGGCTTATCTTATTGAAGAGAGCGGTGAATCCGGCCACGTTCCGGTTGTGTCGGCATCCCCATGCGACGCCATGATACAGCGGGCTCTCGATGCCGGCATCATTAGTATCCATCCTGGTGACCCCCCTAAGAGGCTGTTGACGTAAATGCCTATGATCCCTTTAAGCTTGAACTAAAAATGATTTTTTCTTTAAGAGACATGGTTCCTTATTTTCTCAATAAGATGCAATGACAGCGGCTTGTCACACGTAACGATGTCAAGATTCAAGCACGCGGCCTGATGGATGGTCCTTTGGAACCGATCGCCGTCGTTGCTGCTGCCCTCTACTTCTCCGGAACGCATAAGCTGTACTAATAACAATGACTTCGGCCACATTCCAGAACGATAATATCATCGTCAGTACTTGTCTTCCAGTTGGGAAGTGTGTTTGAATGTGTAAAGGCAGCAGAGACATAAAGGTCTTGAGTATTTGCATCATGTCAATAGATACAGTGCCGTAAAGAAAACATATTCGAAGCTGTACATACATCCAATTCTAAAATACAAAATGAATGACATGTCTTAGATACGCGCAACATAGCCTGGGCCTGTAAGCCAGCTTCACGAGCTTTTCGAGCCATCCACATACCTTGAATAGATGCTTGATATAGGTTTCGTAATCAATCCTTATACCAGCCTTACTGTTCTAATTTCGACGTTATCGAAGAACGACAGACCCCCAGCTAAATAAGGCTTCGAAAAGAATGTTCCCACTCGATAGTATTCATTCGGATTTCCCGTTGGGTGAATCAACAGGCCATAAGCCACCCTTTTTGATTTGGTCTCTGTCTCCAAACCAGCACCACTTTCAGCACTTGTGGATGAGGTGGTGGGCAGCTCAGAGGCCACCCCAGCATCGGTTTCATCGCCAATAGTCTTAGAGGTTTTAGGATATTTTGGTGAGATATCACCTGTTACTGTTTCGTGTGGAATGGTACTACCTATCAACAGGAAACTAATGGGCGCCTGGAGAGTAAAGCCTTCCGTTCGGCCGAAGAAACTTTGAACAAAACAATCAGGATGAATATCTGCAAAGTATCGCCCGTCAAATGTAACAGTGTCTGGTTCCCCGGATAGTCGAATTAGTTTTTGTAATGCTAGCCTCGGCGATCCTATATGTACCCTGGAGGTAATATCAAGTGCCGCATGCCTTACTTCGCCAAAGGCTGACTCTCCACGCAACGCGATAGCTGTGTCTAGGCTATGGAACTCTGGTTGACAGCCAGCTGAAAGATCTGGACGGTATAGAAGGAACGAAAAATCTTCACGTCGACTAGCCCAGCTCCAAGAAGGCGCAATGTATGGGGAGGGAGCTCTTAGTCGCTGTAGTAGGTCTTGATGACTAGGCTTGTCTACTTTTCCCGCAGCCCAACAGAGCGATTGATGCATATTATTTTTCCAGAGACCAGCTGCATAGTCATCGTTCAACCTTTTACTGAATAGCGATGCGATACCAGCGATAGAAGGAAGGAAATCTGTTTTCCGCGTAAGTTGATGGCGCCTAGGGTGGATTTGAGCTATTATTTCGCTCCATTCTTCATAAATGGCTGCTTTGCTACCCGAATCGATTGTCACGCGGTCAAGCATGATATAATACTCTTCATATGTGACTCTGTGGCCTCCCGTCGATTCGTTGAAGTATTTGCATTTTACGTAGATGTTTCCTTTTGAAAACATGAGGATACGAGTTGATGAGATGCGTTCCTGGAACGTCCAGCCTCTCCAAGCCCAAGGGCTGTCGGACACTTCGTTCGCGTCGTTGATTAAGTAGGGAGGGGAATATATGGCCAAGGCATAAGTGCTATCAAAGTGAGTTCGAAAAGGAACGAGAATTCTTTCTGTATTTTTGAGAAATCCTTGCTCGCAGTTGTCGGAGAACGTAGCAGCAACTGCCGCGTAGGCGTTGCCATAGATTCGTTCCATCACGGCACATTGATTCTCCCAGTCAGATACGTCATCTTGGAGAATACACAATGCATCGACCCAAAGGAATGGGACCGATAACGCTCTGGTCACAGATACGGCGTCCTTAATAACCTGTGGCAGAGAGAATTCTGGGATTTGCCGCTGGTGCTGGGAGATATTGTCTCTGGTTGTCTTAAGCTGCTTACTTGCGTGAGGCTCTGGACCCCAACAGTACGTAAGGGCAACATATCGATGGCTCTCGGCGCCTCGGGGTTGCAAATCTTTAGTAAGGACTAGGCTCAGCCGGTTTTCTCTGACATCAAGAAGCCGATCGGGTATGAAGGTTTTGTCGGGGTTAAAGTGGTTGTGTGATACACACGACTCCAGCTTCGACTTCATCCACAATATGCTCTCTTCATTGATATGAGACAAATGCGGCTGAAGCCTCAGAGGCGTGCCCATATCGAGATCGGTAGCTGCCGTGACAGGGCAGTCAATATGGAATTCCTTGCCGTCTATGTCGTTTCTTGTCAGCCATTGCACATGTGTCGATCGGTCTTTGGTATATACCGGGTCTTAATCTGATCCTTAGAGCCTTTAAACCATACTGGTCGGCTTCGCCGAGGGTAAACACATAATGCAGCGACACGGGAACACGTTTTATTTCGAGTGCCCTCACTGACTCATCGTATACTCGCCACCATTTCACAACGCGACGAAGAAACTCGCAGGCATCGCATTTGTCTCCCCCTGGATGAAAGGCGATAGACAGGTAGTTGGTCACATTCCAATCCAGATCAACTTCTTGTTCCTGGCTCCATTCTCCAACTGATGGGTTTCTGAGTTGGATGTCATCTAGCGTTGTGCTTCTCAGCTGTAAGCATGCGCAGCGCTTGCAAAGCTTTGCAAATTGGTATGGGGAATTATCAGAGACTGTCATTGATGAGACGCTTGTAGTTGTTAGAAGTATTCCCCGCTTGCGCTGACGTGGCACTTCCTTGGAGACATACGCATGACTAAGCAAGGCAAACGCTTGAGGCTCGCTGGGCTGCACACGAGTATACTTAACTAGCAGTATAAGGAGTTTATAAGTGAGTTATAGAAAGAAAACTGAGGTAGCGTAACTCTTACAGACACACACAATTTTACTTCTATTTGGCAGTACTAAATACTCTGTCCAACTAGTTACTAGCTCCGCGTCATCAGCTGTCCAGCATCTTCTTCAATCTCATCATCCTCATCAAAGCCAGACTGCCATGATCGATACATAGGTTTGAGCTTCAAAGTCCAATCAGAAGAGTGTACTCCCCCATGTGCTTCTATCGCTGCAGCAATCTCGCCGTAACCATTGACTGATGCCCAGTCCAAAGGAGTGAAGCCATCCTCATCTTTGGGAGACACTTCGATCCCGGGCACGCGCAAGAGAGCTCTAGCTGCAGCCAGGTTCCCTGCCCTTCCCGAAGCATGAAGAGGTGTATGCTTGTGGTGATCCCTCGTATTGATATCCACGCCAATTGCAGCGAATGCCTTGATTAGCCACTCGGCGGGCGACAATACTTGCTGGGCCTCAGCTGGGTCGATGTCCCGGTCATCATTAAGTTCTTCGACAACTTCATCCAATCCATCGTCATCGTCACTCTTTTTAGGATCCACCCAGTGACATAGATAGTGAAAGGCGGAGCGTCCGAACCGGTCTACGTGGCCAGCTTCTCGGGCAATCTCTGACGGTGAGTACTTGGACTGAAGAAAGTGGACCAGACTCTCGACCGTGCTATTGTTCTCGCTTCTAAGGGCCAAAAGGACAATATTCCTATCGAACTTGTCGTTCAAGTCGTACCTTGCCCCATGTCTGATAAGGGTTTGTGCGCATTTAACCGAGCCTTCCATGAGGGCATGGTGTAATGGCGTAAATGACGAAGCGTCTCTTTTATCCGGGTCTAGCCCAATACTTAGCAAAACAGAAACAGCAGGCTCGTTGCCGAATATGCAGGCAAAGTGCAGCGGCGTTCTCCCTTTGCTGTCCTTAGTGCTGACTTGTGGTCGAAGGACGGTGAGACACTGGCGAATGAAGCTGTCAGAATGCCACATGACTATATAGTGCAAGATACCTCTCCCTTCCTTATCTACCTCACATGTTCGCAAGTCCTTGATGGGGCTTTCCAGTAGCAGCTTCACTATCTCCCGGTGACCCTGTTCAGCAGCGACGTGAATTGGCAATTTGCCACTCTTGTCTCGAATAGAATGGCTGGCGCCTGCTTGGAGTAAGTCTTTGCAGGCAGTATAGTTCCGGTACTCTGCGGCGATATGAAGAGCTGTTTTCCCGTCCCGGGCTGTTTTGTTTAGCCATGCCCTTGTCTTGGAGATCAACAGAGACGACAATGATACCCAACCAAGCTCACTTGCCCAGTGAGCAATAGTCCTACCGTCAGAGTCTGTTGAAGTATCATCGACAGAGAACTCATAGACTAGGACGTTGACAACTTGCTCCCAGTCTTGCTGAGCGCACAGAATCAAGAGCTTTGATCCACAGTCATTTGACCTTTGGAAAGTATTAGATGGAATACCTTTCAAAATCTCCATCATTCGCTTCTTCATGCCATGATACGCGTACCGTTCTAGCAAAGTGAAGCCATCCCCATCAACGGTGACGGCTTTGAATGGGTCGCAAGCAAGAATAGTATCTTCCAGAGAATACCAGCGAAGTGATGAAGCACGATGGATGAACGTTCGCGGAACATCATCATCCAGATAGTTGAGCCCAGTAGAGTGGCGAAAGGTGCGAGCTTTCTCGAACCAATTGTCAGGCACATCAGATCGAGAGATGAGCTTGAGGGCGCTTTGTTCCGATACACCTTCATCGAAAATCTGATCAAGGGCATTGAGGCCATGGCAGTCTTGCTCGTAAATGTCGACATTTTTGCGGCGCAGGAGCTCAAGGCTGACTGATTGTAGAGACACTCGCGACAAACACCACTGTAAAGCCGTCCAACCTTTCCTACTTTTGGCATTCAGTTCCACTCGAGGATCGGCTATTAATCGAAGAATTAGTGTGGGGTTGACACCTGCTTCGAGCGCGAGATGAAGCACATGGCCTGCATCGCGATCGGTTGATTCCATCCTAGTCTTGTGGTTGGCCAAGATCATTTCAAGACATTGTCTCCGGTCCTCGATTAAAGCCCATAGAAGGGGGGGCCAGCCTCGTGAATCAGTCCCATTGATGTCTTCCCCACGGTGCAGTAAATCCGACAAAACATTGGGATAGTCGCCCGCCTTCAGAATGAAATGCATTGGAGGTAGCCGAGAGAACTGATCTATACTGTCCCAAAACGGACCTGTGTGGTACCTCGCCAATCCTAAGAGTATGGCGACCATCAGAAAGTAGTGTGATTGCCGTAGCAAAGCAAAGTCGGTCAGGGACTTGTTCACCTCCGGATCTGACAGGCCATGGTTACAATGGTAGTTCCAATAAGAGACGCAATACACAAATAGTCCTCGAGTTCGGTCGTCCAGTTCAGTCTGGCCAAGCTTCAGCATAGCTGTCCCAATTCGCTCCTTTACTTCCGGCTCGCTCTCAATGACGTCCATGTCGTCGTATTTGCTAAGGTCAAGCGAATCCAGGTAGTTCTTGCCCTGAAGTGACATGACGAACAGGTCTCGCATCTTGTCTGCCATGGCCTCTCGGGCAATATCTCGGAACTTTGCCAGGTCTCTGAAGCTAAGCACTGTAATACATCGTTTTGCGAGTTCAGCATCTATATCTGCCTCACGAACAACATATTTTGATATCACTCCAGAATTCGGGCTTGAAGACATAGAATCATCTGCTGTCAACAACTCTTTGACTGTGCTATGCGCAAATCTTACCCTCAGGTCTGGGTCGACGCGGAGAAGGTATCCAAAGGCTTGATCAAAGTGGGCGTCAAAGTTGAACCCAAGTGCGTTTTTGAGGTCAGACCAAGTTCTCTGGCCAGTACTGATTGCCACCGCGTGCTGGAGTTCGCTCAAGCTCAGGGGCTTTCGAGACCCAAGCACCCAGGTGAATCCTATCTTTGCGACATCCTGAGAATCCTCTGGAATCTTCTGGAGTAGAGAGCAGTAGAAGGCTCTAGCTTCTCCAGAAAGCCTCCTTAGCCCTTCTAGTCGAGACTTGATGACTTGAGCAGACCAATACGAGACACCGGCTGTAAAGTGGCTCCATGCGAGAGCTACTTGCAAGAAGTTGCCTTCCGATACCTCGAGAAGCGACTCTTCGATGAGATTCTGATACTGCCACGGGATGGCGCCACTAGAGCATAGGTCCCCAAGCCTGGCATTAATAAATTGCCGAATGTCTTCAAAGACCATGTCTTGACGACGGATGTCAAGCCAGGTCACTGAATGTAGTATTCCCCTTGCGTTAGGGCTACTGCGATCGCAGATGATAAACTTGAGCTTTTGGCCAAGGTCGTTTGAGACTAGATGCCGAAGTCTCTGGACCAAAGCAGTCCGCGATGTGTCCTGCAACTCGTCGATTGCATCAATCAGAATCCAAAAGCTAAGATCGGGGCTGCGTTGGAATACGGTGGTCAGAAGCCTCCACACGACGTGGGGTTCCGCGTTGGCCCTGTCAATACTGCATACAGTCTGCATATCAGAATCACTCAAGTACCTGAAGAGACTTTTGTTGTGAGAAAGAACTTGGAACAGAAGAGACTGGGCTATTTGCACATCCGAGTTTCGCAGCCATTGCTCGGATGCACAAAAGAAGAACGCGACCATCGACCCTCTTGCAGCACTGCTTGTGTTTTTCTGGAGCCAGCGCCGCAAGTGATCTATAAGAAATCTCGAGGCAGTCGTCTTTCCAGCACCGGGGGCTCCCGATATCCAAAGAACTCGGGCTGTGGACTGATCACGCCAGTCTCGAAAAGCACTGGTCTCGGTGATCCACGAACAGGTTCCTGGGCTGGGTCTAGTGATATTTCTGAGGACCTCTTCTGGATCTAGGGTTTTGATAGATCGTAGAAATTGATCTCGTAGTGGATTCTGCGTTGCGTTTGGGCGGTCCAAGGCGTCTTCGACCATTTCCATGATGCAATCTGATATCATCTGATATTTCTCACTTGTCATATCGGAGAATTTACACATTGACCGATGGTCAGCCTCGATAGAGATGGGGACCTCATTTGGAAGACCGATAACGGCAGAGTCTTCTTCAACGACTAGGCCCGATGCACCCTTGGTTCGCTGGCGCTCGTAGATAGAGAAGATGCGGTGCAGTGACTCGGAGCGCTCGATGAACTGCGAACATATCGCACCAAGCATGTCTGACTTCCGTTTGAGGTCTTCTAGAACCTGAGTGCGAACAGATCCCAAGGTCACGACGTCAGCCAGCTTCGCCAGAAGACTACCCCAGAATGCTATGTCGGAGCCGCGATGAGGCGTGCCGAGAAACATGATGCCAAATGTGTCTCTTGTAATTGGGTTATACCGACGACTTCTCTCATGGGCAATAGCCAGCGCTCTCTTAACGACAATGCCGCCTAGGCTATGGCATATAAACAGCAAGGGTCGCTCTTCGCTGAATTGCCGCCGCTTCGCGATTAGCCTTTCGAGCAAATTTCTTGCATGGTCGTCCACGCGTGAAGCTGATCCGGTGAATGCAACGCGCGAATCATAGCCAAAGGTAAAAATCCGAGCGTGTGGAATTTCCAGCGGGAGAAAGTCCGCAAGCCACAGCTTGCCATCTTGGGTCCATGTTTTGAATGCTTTTCCATTCAATCCATGCACAGCTATTATACTAAGATACGAGAGTCAGGACAGTGATAAAGCCTCGATGCTCTCATGAGCCAAAGCGCGTACTCAATCTTTGTGTTCTGAACTTCATAAACATCATTCTTCGGAGGCCATAACTGATAAAGCCCGAATAAATCGCCTTCGTCGGTCATGTCACTTGAGCGGCCGGGTGACGTGCTTGCTGCCACTGCTGACTGGGGAGTTGACCCTGCGTTGACTGCTGGCGTATCATCGTTCCGATCAGAAGATTTAGAGAAGCGCCCTATTATTTTTTCCATGCTCATACACAATGCAGTTCCTGGGAATGCTGAATAGGCCTGCCTGAGATATATATCGCATATGCAGTTCACAGTAGGACTGTACCCCTCATATCGACTTCTGATAACGTGACTCTCAAGAAACATGGCATCCAGTGATTCGATAAAATCTCACGTGAGAAAATGACAATACAATCGTCTACGTGCTCATAATCCTGCTTTTCAATACTAGCCTAAGGGGTCCAGGAAGATATTAATTATTTCTGGCGATACTTATAAATAGGTCTCATAGCCTTATACTTCATTAATCCAGAGACCTCTAATATGATAGTATATTAGAATTATTTTTGTGACTCTTTAAGACTCCCCGCATCTGAGCACTGCTCCTCAGGCAACAGGGCATGCTCTTGCGGCAAGCCTCAGTGGCGTCTTACAGGGGCCTCACTTGCTCCTGCGCCACATAGTCGCTGCTCCTTGGGCAGGTCTTCAGATACACGCTCTCGCCTCATTTTACATATCAAGCATGCTTTACAGGTGCATTACAAACAAATACAATCTAAGCCATAGAAAGCCACGTATCGCCATATTTCCGCCATCTGCAATAAAGCCTGAGAAATTACGACCATCCTCTGCTGGAGCATCCTCGCCGCGCCCTCGGCTGTTCCCCCATAACATGTCAGCGCTGAAAATTACACAATCTTAGTTAATGCCGACGCGTCTGTGCGAATTGCACAATTAAATCCATCCATCAGCATTGCGTATATGGCGTGAACATCGCTTGCTGACCTTCCAAATCGGGGAAAGGCTATTGTTTTGCACTTGCATGGTAAAACGAAAATCAGGCTGACCGCGTCTCAGGCGCGAGTCAGTCAAAACAAGTCATTCACATGGGGAGTAAAGATTCTTTTTTTTCGCACTATTATCGTTAGAGTTGTTGGGGTATTGTATCTCAGCGACGTCGACCACTTCGCGGTAAGAAAGAAGATGTACAAGGGCGCATTGCTGCATGAAACATCACCATGATGACCCTCACAGGGCCTCGATACTCCGATGATCGCTCGTGATCAAAGCGCTCTGCTTGTTGCATTATTTGATCAGATAAGGACAAGCTTCATAAGTCTTGTCCCTCCGATCTTCATATCACTCTCCATCGCGACGGTTCAACCTCCTCCTTCCAGCAACACCAATGCCGATCCCTCACACGACAGCCCTAAAATCCAGAAGCCATCTACCGGCGTCTTTTATCTCCCCACCACAAATTTGACACAGCGCCAATTGGAACTGTTACCAATAGCGACTATTTAAGCCTTATGCCACTTTAGGTCCATGATTTGCAACGTCCCGGGTTCCCCTTGGCGATCAAATATGGGGTTCCCCTGTTGCAGATCAATCCTTCGGCAAATTCACATGAAAGGAGGTGATCACTCTTACATTTAAAGCATTGACAATGGCTTGTTTCCCCCGGAATGAATCACGCATGTCCTTTTAGGGATTTCTTTGCTTTTTTCTTTATCCAAGAATTGTTCTGCAAAATGGAACTAGGCCTGTCAACCAGCGATGTCAAGCTCATCACCATCATCCAGCAGGTATGCTCTGTCCTATCGCTGGTAGGATGTCTCTTCATCATCACAACCTTTTGTCTCTGCGACGCCTTCCACAAACCCATCAATCGGCTTGTGTTTTACGCGTCGTTTGGGAATATCATGGCGAGCATTTGCTTCATCATGGCGGATTCGTTCATTGATGCGCCTGATGGGGCCGGATGCCAAACACAGGCCTTTTTACTCCACACGTACGTTACACAGACAATATCGTGACGCTTGGCTGATTTGTGCAGATTTGTTGGGGCTGATGCGCTGTGGACGCTTGCGATGGCGATTAATGTTTACCTTGCGTTCTACTATCGCTTCGATGCGCAGCGATTAAGGAAGATGGAGTTACCGTATTTATTACTCTGTTACGGTATCCCATTCTTGCCGGCGTTCATTTTTATTTTCATAAAGAATGGTGATGGCGTGAGAGTTTACGGTAGCGCTGTTCAATGGTGCTGGATCACTTCATCATGGGATACTCTCCGCATCGCAACATTCTACGGCCCAATCTGGTACGTCTACCAACCTCACAGCTCTTCAGTGCACTAACAATGCAGGGTCATAATTGCCATCACCCTCGCAATCTACATCCGCTCCGGCGGCACCATCTACCGCAAACGCCAACAACTCCTCAAAGCCCAAGGCTCCGGCTCAGGCGGTCTATCATACGCCCACCAGAGCACCGTCAACAACATCAAGACCACCGAAGTGACCATCACCTCCGAAGCAGCAACCCAGGCCGACGCGATCCAGTTACAAAACATGGGGCATCAAGTCACCGTGCATGCTATTGGCGAGCATGCTGAGCCCCAGCCACCTCAACCGATTGCTAGTGTAACCAGCACCATGCCCCAACCTGTCCAGCGCCCGGCGGTCCGGCCTAGCAACGATGTATACCGTGCGGCGTGGGCTTATACAAAAGTCGCGATGCTATTTTTTGCGGTGATTTTAATTACGTGGATTCCGTCTAGCGCTAATAGGATGTATTCGCACATTCATCCGTCGGAGGTTAGTAAACCTTTGCAGTTCATGAGCGCAACAGTGCTTCCACTGCAAGGATTTTGGAACGCCGTTATTTACACTGTCACGTCTTGGGCGTCGTGCAAAGCGTTGTTGGAAGAGAGGGGGCTTTGGCGCTCGAGAACAAGGATAAGTGAGCCAGCTTGGGAGGCTAATGAGGAGCGTGGGAGGAGAAGGAGTAAACTCAAGACTATGCTCAACTCAAGGACAGAGGATTCAGAGAGCCTGAGAGAGCTGGCTTATCAGAATAAGTCTGACGATGGGCGAAGCGTGTAAAGAAGACGATAGTTTATTTTTATTCTTCCTTGAGTAATGATACCAGATACCTTTCCATAGCATACAGACTTTTATTCACTGCACTCGTGGGAATAGTGGCATTGCAGATTTCTTCGTGCGCAAGCCCAGCGCTCTGTTTGTGGCCTGTGCAGGTAACAGCAAGACACACAAAATAATATAATTAGGTCTATTACAGGACAACAGCTTCACTCAAGCTTTAGTGATTTGCAGAAAAGAATAAGCCCAGGAACAATCTCACAAGGTTCGTTTCTCTCGCGCCTTGACTCATATCCGTCGACTTGCACCCTACAAGCTTCAAGCACATTGCGTTATCCTAGCCAGTAACGATACACTCTCTCGGTCAAACGTTTTCCCGATTTACACTGACTGTCGTCTACGCCCAGCGGCAAGAGAAAACATGTCGCCAAGCTTGATGATGAATTGCTTGTCACTTTTGTGCAGAGATCTTCTAAATAAAACAGGATTTTTTCAGTGCCTATCCGTATTCTAGCCCTCATTTTATGCTGCCACCCGAGCACAAACGCTGAGTGTCATAACATATCTTCACATAGTGCGAAATGCTTTTTTGCATGCTCAGATGGATGTCCTGTCAGGACATCGTGGGCTATTCAGCCCGCGATTTAATAAAAATAACCCGGTAAAATTGACAAAAAGAAAGAACATTCTTATAGCCTTCTCTCGTTTTTTTGGCAATAATATTTGTTGCAGTGCCAGTGCCATCTTCAATCAGATCATTTTTATTCAGGTGGCGTTGGCCATAGCTCATAGCCTATGCAATCAGCCTCACACTATCTCACCGCTTAACGGTCCGCAACGGTCAGCATAGACAACAAGGCAACCGTTTCGACAAGAGACAACAAGCCTAAACCATTACCATGCAAGCCACCGTTACAAAACTTGACGGATTTGCAGGGATGCTCACCGTGCTTACAATTGGTTGGTCGTTGGTTGTAGGGCCAGCGGTAGATATCCCGGTCTACCAATATTTTGATTGGACGTGCACAGAATCAGGCTGTCAATTATAGAAAAAACAAAAAAGCAGAAACGTGCACGAGGGGCCTCCTTTTTTTTTCTTTTTGACTCTTCATTTCATTTTCTCTGCTGTATCTCTCTGTCGAAAAAGTCCTTTTGCATCAATGGTTTCTAGTGCTATTGCTGATGTATAGCATATTGCTGTTCTTCAAATCACTTCCATTAGTACGCGACATATCGATACTACCACTAGACGCACTAGCTAGTTCGCCCTATAATGGCGGAGCAGCTTCAATCGACCCCAGCCACGGATATCCCCCCAGGCCCACATTCATCTCGAGTCGCTCCTATACAAAAGCTTATTCAACAATGGACACCTCTTCCGCCTTCGACTAAGTCACCAGAAGAGGAGTTCCAAGAAAAGTATAAGGAAGCACAGGCACGCTTCCATACAGCCACTGCCTTGACTCGGGACCATTCAGACGACCCAGCCTCGTACACAGCCAAGGTGGATGATGTCGTATCCTGCGGAATCCGCCTGAACGAACTAGTCGCAGAGCATAGAGCACACAAGGATGATAAAGAGCGTAAATATCAGCAATTATTCTTGAATCAGCAGATTGCTCTTACGATGGGACTCCTCGACACATTCGGTCCCAAACTCGGTAAAGCGGTGTGTCAACAGTGGGAAACACATGCCAAGCGACTTTCGAATAACCCTACCCAGTCGAATAATATCGCTAGCTCAGCAGCTGAGGTGATGACAGACTCACATTTACTTCCCAATACATGCCACGTCTCGCAACCTCCGAACCCGCAGAACGCTGCAAATGAAACAGCTCCTGTCCTTCCAGTGGCCGAATGCTCTGGAGTTCAAGAAGCACACACAATTGACCAGTCTTCGGAACAGGCTCCGCGACCATCGCAGGCCCAGCAAAAGAGGCCCGCGAGCCCTCCACGCGATACACCATCCAACCCAGCCAAGCGATGCCGGCCAAACATACCTCAGCCTCCCATATCCCTTACCGACGATCGATCGATCCACTTCAACGATGTGTACCAAGACGGCAACGCTGGAACAAAATACATCATCGCCCCACACAAGGGTGATTGGTATATCCTCGAGTGCAAGAAGCACAAGCTGCACTTCAAGACCACCAATCCCATCAAAGGTGCTCGAAAACATTTGACATCAGGGGCACATGGTCACTTACGGCCTAATTACGACCAGACACTTAGTATGCTCGGCACGCGGGTTACAGGCTGTACCAAGGAGCTGGCTGATCTCAATAACGACGTTACTCAAAGGCCTTCGTACGAAGATGTGGGTAGACCTTCAAGCGTTCTTTCCACTGAGTCCACGCGCTCTAGCCGCGAGTACCCTCGAATGAGAAGCACCCAGGTCATCCCTGGTCTGGACCCAAAGCCAGGCGAGATTTATACCGCCTTCTGGCCACAGACGAAGGAATTCTACGCGATCCTCGTCCTGCCGTGGGGCAGCTTCCGCCAGTTTGGCTGGGAAATGACACTCAAGAGCTGCTCTGGCATTCTAGACAGGGACAGGGATATTCCGAGCTGCTACAAGTACAATCGTGATACAGAGAGTGTCGAGTGGGCTGAGAACTTCAAGCCTGGGGGGCGCTCGCATCATAAGCGGAAATATCCGGTCCTGTATTTTGACGCGGCCGATGTTCCGGGGAAGTGTCTCGTTGGCTGGGTTGGTGTCAACGAGTTTCGGTACTACGATCCTCTTGACACAGAAATCCCTTTCAAAGATCAAGTCGATGACTTTATCCGACGGATGGATGAGCGTGACCTGTCGGGAGACGTCGAAATGGGTACGTATCATCGACGCATGGTATCTTGAGCTACGACTGATCTTATACAGGTGCGCAGGCTATTGGCCTATCTTCAGGCAGTGCTTCGGATGAACAACAGAACACTGGCGATCAGCCACGCTTGGGAGCGTCTATGCGTACAGCTATCTATATCTCGGACGGCGATGACAGCGACGATGACGAGGTGGAGACCGAAGCTAGACCGCTGTCCCCGGTGCAGCAACAACCGAGCGAGCCACGAGTAAAGACCGAGCCGATGAACGAAGAAGCTCCGACACAACTCTCCGATGCAGCTGCAGCGCAAATAACTACCGACTCGGTCGGCTCAGCTAATCAGTGGAATGGCCTTGATCGTTCATTGACTGTTCCAAACAGTGGCTCGCGTGTTGATACCAACAACACACATAACGCTGCGGTACCAAACGCCCCCGCGGTTGACGATTCGATTACTTCTCCCTCTCATGCACCTATGAGACCCGTTGCGCAGATGTGCAATGATCTCCCAGCCCCATGCGGAACCGTGCCCCCACCGCGAGAGCACCAAAATGCTCCAGTCGAGGCCACCGGGCCTCACGCCCCAGAAGCCGTAATGGCTCCCGGAGATCCCCTAGCAAATGGACCAGCTCCATTCGCACGCATGAGAAACCATGCTGCACCCAAAAACTCTTCTCCGTTGGACCTGTATCGCTATCTATCTTCTGGACTCCCCGCAAACACGATTGCAGATGCCACGGAGAATGATGGTTTGGTATGGATGACGCAGCGGACCGTAGCGGAAGAGCATGGGTTACGTATTTATGAAACGCCTGTGAGACAGAGCTCTTGGCGGTAGCCATTCATCAGTGATGACACTGATTGAACAAAAGTACATATCAGGAGAACTAAGTCTTACAAAAAATACATATTACTCTATTAATATTTTCCTGTATATAGTCAACCCATCTCTACAGCTTAGGCACAACAACACCCTCCCTCAACCTCATAATAGACTGTTGTGTATTACTCGCGATCAAATTCCCATGGCTATCCCATAACTTCCCCTCCGAATACGTCCTATTCCCGCCTCCCCTGCTCGTCTTCCTCTCTCTAACATGCCACTCCCCCATCTTAACCTCCGGCACGAAGATCCTCAACGCAAAGTCCAGCGTCGAACACGCAGCTGTATCATCAAACCACATGTGATTATGGCTCAATGGGAGGAATGAAAGACCGCCGTCCATAAGGAATGCCAGCGCGCTCATGTTGGCGGTTGGGGTCGGGAGGTCGTGCAAGGCGCGCTGCCACTCGGCGGATACTTTTTCCGTGATGGGAAGGTGGTCTTGTGTTGTTTTGGTGTCTCGTGCTGCGCCGGAGAGGTTCTGGGATGATACGCCCGCGGTGCAGTAGCGCGTGTCGAAGAAATCAGCGTTGGCGGCGAAGGATTTAGTAAATTCCTTGCCCTGCTTCTCAGTGATGCTGCCCTTTTCTAGCAAGTCCTTCACCAACTCGTCTAAATTCGGGCAATCTTCGGCCCTCGGCCATTTGGAGCACGTCGGCTCAGAGTAATCCCAGCTCGAAGGCTCAATAACATGAAAATCCGCGAGGACTTCCATACAAACGCGGAATTTCCCATTGGGCTGCTGCTGTTTGACCTGAACCCTTCTTGTCGCGAAAGATCGCGTATCTCGAATGTTGGTCACGCTGCAGTGCAGTTTCTTATCTGTTGACGCTGGACCATGGAAGTGTCCGAGGACAGAGTAGAGTGACATTGAGGGCGGCGCTGTCTGACACGCTGCGTTGACGGCGATGCTGGCTGTGCAGCCGCCATAGGCTATGGGCATGGCGTTGCCCATTCTGATGGGATTGAGGCGCGAGACATATTCTCCGGGCGAGACTTGGTCTACTGCCACTTGCTCTGCTAGTGTTGGTGCCATCGTGTTACTCCGTAACGGGTAGATGTAAAGTGAGCGCTGGCAGAATTGCGATGGCGATAGAAGAAGCTCATGACTTCAAATAATGGTGATTAAGCTCGGGATCAAGTGGGTCTACCTCGGTTCGGCTACTTCAAGAGTGGATCTGCGATCTTGTGCTTATCTCGATAAGATGCGTTGAATCGCGATGCAACAGTGAAATTGCGTGACATTGCAGAACTAGCTGCATTGATATGTACTGTAATGCGGTGCAGCGTTGCACTGGGCACTGTAGGCCAAGGGTACTTTCCCTATTATGAAGAGATACTGCGGATGCCTTTCGGGAGGAATTATAAATTGCGGATGAATACTCCATAACGTCGGAGCTAATTTATAAATTAGCGGATCATTATTCATCCGGGGCCAATGTCTGATTGGCAAGAATGAGTACAATACTCATAGCATTAAAAATAAAGGATATAAAGCTATTGACTTTATTTAATATATTGCTATAGATCGTTCTTTCTATGTATTAGAAATCACTGTTTTTATCTCAGCCTCTGAAGTTATAAGCTGATTGGCCAGCCAACACGTCAGCAAGAGGAATAATGCTTTCGCTAAGTGCAATCTGCATTCAGGCCAATTATAAGCTCAACACACAACAGCAGCGGCCAGACTAAGACTTAGTGCTGGTTACAGATCTAAGGGTATCGGCTGGGGGCAAGAGAGAGTATATCAGTATGCTTCTTATAAAGCGTCAAGCATTTAAGTAAGAGTAATCGCATTATAGTATTGCTTGTTGTTGTTTTTTGTGTAATTGATGTGAGTTGAAAATTGACTAGTACTGTTCTTAAAATGTTGCTAGATGTTCTTCCATCACTGGCAAGCTGGGAATTTATAGCCATATGATTATGGGCGCGCCGTGGAAAGACAAAGCTTCATAGACTATTCTTTGTCAATCTACATAAACTCGATTCCATTCCGTTGCGGCTCCAACAGAGCGCCAATTTCTGCTTCTGGGGGTTGCATCAGTCTCCTCGAAGCGTGTAGGGTAACGCGTGTCCCGCACTGACCACAAATAAACTCAAAGACCGATCGCGACGGCAGATCTATCTCTCCGATCATGGCAGATAATTAGCCCGATTATTCTCTGCATTGCGCACACAGTCAGCCTGCGAAATAACGTATGATGGACCCATTATGCCAATCCAGATTCACCCAATGATGTGCGACGTGGCTTACATCTTATCAATCCAGACTCTTGGCAAGGAGGAATATCTGACATACATAACGATTTGGCGATTTTTGATGGCTCAATTAAACCTGCTCGTACTCGCTCTTTGCCTCGCTGTCGCGTCTCACGGACAGCGAGAGCGAGAGCGATGCAGAGTAGGACACGCGTTACATCGTGATGCACACATGAACTATAGCCTCGTGACAAGATGAAAGAAACTCAAAGACTGAGTTCAACACAGAATAAATCACATCAAATCCAATTGACTCAAATTCACTCTTGGCAGAGCCGCAAAGCGCAAAACTCGCGTTCCGAGAAACTATTCCGAATCAGGGCTCCTCCTCATAAGCGAGATGTCAACTCCTGCTCGGACACCCGCGGGTTCCTTGCGCAGTGGGTAGCCAATCCACTTGCTCACCAATGACAGTCGCCGTGTCCGTCGGGCCGGGTCGACTGCATTTCATGGGGTGATTGTCCGCGGGGACCCGGGGGAAACGAGGGTGATATTCGTAGAAAAAGATTTGATCTTCTCCCGACTCCGTTCGTTATGTTCTGGAAAAAGACCGAGTGATTCAATCGGGCTAATTCTACGTTAATCATCTGCCGGTCTTGGATCTTGATTGATGCACGTACATAAGCATAACTGAACCGCATGCTATGCCTTTAGCTTAAATAGATCTCCTTGTCTCGATTGAGTCGATTTGATTTCTTTCTCAATTGAGTCAATCTTACTCAAACAAATCCATCAAAAATGACAGCACTACTCTCGAGGACAATGTCCTCTCACAGCAAACACGACGACCAACACTCCGACTCAACAGCCGGAACACCAACAGAAGAACCTCAGCACGACATAACCCAAGACATCAGCAATCTCGCCCGCCAACTCTCCCGTGTCTCAACAACAGCGGGCACCGAACTCCACGCCTTCTCACCCCAGCCCGGCACAAAGCTAGACCCCAACTCACCAACCTTTGATCCAAGAGCTTGGGTAAAAGCTTTTGTGAGACTAGTCGAGTCCGACGCTGGAGCTGCGCCGTCAAGAAGTTTGGGCGTGGCGTTTAAGAACTTGAATGTTTACGGCTGGGGTACTGGTGCGGAACATCAGAAGACTATTGTTGATTATCCTATTGATGTTGTCAAGTATCTTGCTGGTTTGGTTGGAGGCGCGAAGAAGAGACGGGTTGATATTCTGAGGAATTTCGAGGGTGTTGTTGACGAGGGGGAGCTGCTGCTTGTTCTTGGACCGCCGGGTTCAGGATGCTCGACGCTTTTGAAGACTATTGCTGGTGAGACAGCTGGTCTCGAAGTTGGATCTGACTCCTACATGAACTTCCGAGGTATGTCGCTCCCATTTTCTCATGGGCAGTCTTAACAAGATTAGGTATCGACGAAAAGAGCATCCGTCGTTCATTCCGCGGCGACGTCCTCTACAACGCCGAAATCGACTGCCATCTCGCCCATCTCACCGTCGGCGAGACCCTCTCCTTCGCCTCATCCGCACACTCACCACGGCACGTCCCCGGCGGCGTAACCCGTTCTCAAGCCGACACCATGATGCGCGATGTCATGATGGCCATCTTCGGCATCAGCCACACGGTCGATACCCGTGTTGGCAGCGACTTTGTGCGCGGTGTAAGCGGTGGTGAGCGGAAGCGCGTTAGTATCGCTGAGGCTGCACTTACAGGCGCCAAGTTGCAGTGCTGGGATAACACGACGAGAGGACTGGACAGTGGGAATGCGATCAATTTTTGTAGGAATTTGAGATTGCAGGCTGATTTGGTGGGTGTTGCTGCTGCGGTGGCGATTTATCAGGCGCCGCAGTCTGCGTACGATGTAAGTGCCCTGATGAAGCCCAGACATGGATACTAACGAATACAGCTATTTGATCGTGTGACGGTTTTGTATGAAGGGCATCAGATCTTCTTTGGTCGCATCAACGAAGCGAAGCAGTATTTTGAGAACCTCGGCTTCGAGTGTACGTCCTCCACTAGCAAATATCTGTATCTTGCTCTGACAATCCAGGTCCCGATCGTCAAACGACACCCGACTTCCTCACCTCAATGACCAGTCCGCAAGAACGCCGTGTACGACCAGGCTTCGAATCCTCAGCGCCCCGAACCCCCCAAGAATTCGCCTCCCGCTGGCAATCCAGTCCCCAGCGCAAAACCCTCCTCCACGAAATCGCCGCCTACGAAGCAAACCACCCGCCCTCGCTACGCCTCGAAGAGTATAAATCCTCGCGTCGGGCCGAGCAATTCAAGAACCAGCGCGCCAAGTCCCCGTATACCATCTCGTACGCCGCGCAGGTGAAACTTACCCTTTGGAGAGGCTGGAGGCGGTTGTTGGCTGATCCAGGGTTTACCATCGCGTCGTTGATATTCAACCTCATCATGGCGCTTGTGCTGGGAACCATGTTTTATGATTTGAAGGATGATAGTTCGAGTTTTTACTATCGTGGTGGATTGATCTTTTTTGCGCTGTTGTTTAATGCTTTTGCGAGTCAGCTTGAGGTAGGTCGTCTTTGCATCGTGAGGAGGTTTACTAACAGCTTAGGTCCTCACTGTTTATGCGGAACGACCTGTTGTTGAGAAACATAACCGCTATGCGTTCTACCATCAATCAGCCCAGGCAATAGCCAGTTACATCATCGACCTGCCCTACAAAACCGTCAACATGATCATCTTCAATTTGCTGATCTACTTCATG